TCTTTCTGGGATCTTTTTTCTACCTTGTCCTCCAGCTCACTGATTTGATCCTCTGCTTCATATAGCCTACTTTTGATCCTTCTACTGTGTTCTTCAATTCAGAAATTGTGTTCTTCATTTCCTCTTTCCTTTTATTGATAGTTTCTATGTCCTTTTTCATGCTGATATATTTTGCAGTGAGTTCCTCATAGTTTTCCTGTAGTTTTTGGTAATTTTCTTTGAGCCCACTGAGCTTCCTCTCAACTATTGCTTTGAACTCGATATCTGATAGTTTACTTGCCTCTATTTCATTTAGTACTATTTGTGGGGAATCCTCCTTGTCCTTTGATTGGGGGGTGTTTCTTTTTATTCCCATTATTTGTGAGACTCTTCTCTTTTGCTTCTTAAATTGATGTGTCTTGACTTCCTGACTTTGTGATGTGTACTTCTATAGTAAGAGACTGCTTTTTTTTTTTTTTTTTCTGGATCTCCCTTTGATGATGTCAGCTGGTGACCCCATCTTTGGGCTGTCTTTATGAGACTTCCAGGAATCTAATGTCTGTGTCTGTCCCCTCCAGTTGTTAATCTAGTCACTCTGTCCTCAGCAGTCAGGCTTAGGCACCACGGGGCCCAGCAGAGTCCCTCCTGTGCGTGGGGTTATTGCATCCTTTCATGCTACTGCTATTCAGGGGATTGTTTTGCCTGAGCAAGATGGTTTCTGCCCTTTGAAGAAGGAATCAACACCGGGATCCCCCTGGCTACTCCCTCAGTTCTCTCCCCAACACCTTTGTCTCCAGACTCTTCTCAATCATCTCTAGACCACTCTGCATCCCCTTTAGCCAGGGATCTCCTATCTGTGACTGCCACTGTGTACTCAACAGCCGGGCCTGCACAACACCTGGCTGGGACAGAGCATCCTGGAGGTGTGGCTATTGTGTCCTCTCACGCTGCTGCCGCTTATGGGAGTGATCTGCTTGAGCAAGATGGCTGCTGTCGCATGGGCTAGTAGTCAACACCAGGATCTCTCTGGTTACTTCCTCAGTTCTCTCCCCAATGCCTCTGTCTTCAGACTCTCCTCAAGCTACCCTAGACCTCTCTGTGTTCCCTTTAGCCAGGGATCTACTATCTGTGACTGCCGCTCTGTTCTCAGTACGTGGGCCTGTGCATTCTTGGGGCAGAGCCTCCTGGAGTTGGGGCTATTGTGTCCTTTCATGCTGCTGTCACTCAGGGGAGTGGTCTACTTCAGCAAGATGGCAGCTGCAGAATGGGGGTGTGAGTCAGCACTGGGACTCCACCAGCTACTTTCTCAGTTCTTTTTCCAAAGCCTCCCTCCCCTGTCTGTCCTTAGGCAGCTCCAGCACACTCTGCCCCAGCCTTTTTCGGAGCCCAGGGTAAGTGGCCACCACTCCACATTTTTGCGTTGGCCCTTTAAATGGCTCTTTGCGTCTCCAGTCACCTTTCACTGGCAGAGAGCACCTCTACGCTTTTCACAGCTGGCTGTTGTCTGTGTGCTTTTTGGGCTCTGGTACTGTTGGCTGGAGATCCCCGTCTATGGTTTAGACCCTGTCTCCTCAGGGGGATCCAACTGGCCGTTTCAGTATCCCTCTGGTGCTGCTTCACATGGGCGCCCAGCCCACCTTCTAGAGCCTCTACCGCACTCCTTACCAGTTGTTTGTGCTAAAGCCAATTCCACTATCTGTCCAAGGTTTTAAGGTTCCTCTAGCTATTGTTCCTTTGCCTTCCAGGTGATTTCTCCACATTTTAGTTGCAATTCCAGTTTACTCCTGGGAGGTCAGTGTGACTTCCACTCACTCCTCCACCATCTTGAAGTCCTTAAATGATCTCATTTCTTTTTGTCTTGTCACAGTTTTCTTATACAGTAGCATTTTTTTTTCATTAGCTCCATAAGAAGTGTCACAGTTGCTCCATGATCCTCCTTCCACCTTTTAAACATTAAGAGCTCTTTCCAAATTTATCACAGCTAGCTTATTTGGTCTCCCAAGGTGCTCACAATGTCTCTTCCCTGTTTTTGTGGCATTGATAAAGCTAGTCCACTGATTTCATCAGAATCACTGACAGCAATGTTAAGCATTGGACACTGGCCCAATCCTAGTGAACACAATCTGTATCCCCCAGTAGTAGTTTGTTTAGTTTTATGAAATCTCTGAATGAAATGATTTGAAATCTTAATCTCATTCTGCCATGCTGACCTCTGCCGAATAGAAAAAAAAGTGTCAATTAGCACAAGTTCAATGAACTTCGATTTTTCCTAGCCTGTAGTGGCTAAAAATCAAGAGACCTAAGTTCCAGTCCTAGTTCTTCCATTGACTAGCTTCCTAGTATGGGACAAGCAATTTAACCTCATTGCCTTAATTTCCTCATATGTTAAATGAAAAAAATTAAGTTAATAATCTCTCTACTTCTGTTTTCCTAGCTCTAAATTTAATAATATTGTGATTTAACTATAAACCTCATTTAACTGGGCTTTGTAGGGAGAGCAAATGAGTAAATGTGTTGTTTTTTTCCTCCATGTGTAGTCCTCTACAAATGAATACTGTCATTTGAGAAATCTAATAAAAGATTGGGCTTATAGCCTTAGGCTACCAGGAATAAGAAAGAACAAGAGGGATGTTGAACACAGAGTGTTTATCACTTTAAACCAGTACCTGACTAATGGAACATGAGTATGACTTAATGTATGTCAACATTATATAGTGTATACCTCAAGATTTTCTCCTTTCTTGAAAAAAAATGTTGTATTTGTTGTATGTCAACAGTCTTTGAGCATACTTACATATTTTATTGAATTTATTATACCTCACATCTGTTCAATATGAATTGCAGTGTCTTATATCAAAAGCACATATAATATTATTAATAAAATAAAACATGAGCAACAAGAAAAAAAGTTGGAAGCAATATGCTAACTATAAGAGAAGGCATAACATAACATGTTTCATCAGGGACAGGCTGGAAGTCAAAGGACTTTACATTCTTTGAAAGAACAAATGTCCCTGTCTTGCATATCCTCAGCTGACACAGAGTTAAATTACCCAAAGCCAATACAATGCCCTGCAGCCAGAGATATTAGCTATTAGAGACATGGCACAATCTTCTGTCATTGGAGAGAAGTTCAGTTATGAACTCCAGGTATAGTGGACCAAGATCTTGGCATTCTGTCTCCCAGGGTTGCATTGGGAATAAAAAAAAAAATGCTGTTCCCTCTACTATTATTCCCTTCTCTTTACAACTCCTTTTTTTTTTCTCTTTTTCTATCATTATTAACATGATTAAGGAAATATTTTAACCACAAGGTTTGGGATAGATTTCTGCCTGGTAATGAGTCATAAAAACTCAACTTTACCACCACACCATTCTCATTTCCCTGCCACAGTCTCCCCTCCCTTCCTCCAGTGCTCAGTTAATTGTAATTTTACTTTTATTGAATTTTAAACTCGACTTAAATATACCAGATAAGCTAATGGTGCTTTACGACACCTTTTCTTTTTCTTTTTTTTTTTTTGTATTTTTTACTTAAATATATTTTCAAAATACTGTTTTAGGTAATACACTGGCTTACCCAGACCACTTTCAGAAGTCTTTCAGAGAGTTCGCTTGTACCCCTTATGTAGACCTTGCCCTGTTTCTTAAGTAACTGAGCATATACCTCCTCTGGCCCTGTTAACGTTTTATGTTCAGTGATAAAGTTACTAATCTTGACTAGTATGATGTTTGCTTTCCGGTTATTTGGTAGTACTTTATAATTTCATTGCTAATAATCAATAAAATAATATGCCATTTTTACTTTTTAGAATGACTTTAATCAGTACTATTCAAATAAAACACCTGGAGTGGAAGTTGATAGATTTGAAAGTAAATAGATAATGTTACCTAGGAAAGGCATCTATTGAGCTATGAATATGCCTGCAGTATACTCTATGTCCAGACCACAGTTAATATTAAATGGTGACACCAAAGTGTAGGTTCTATTTTAAGCTGTTAAATTTCAACATGAAAGTAGCCTTTATTCAGAATAAATATGGCATTCATGAAAGATGAAATATGCAAGGTGCCAAAGGGCTGTGAATCCCTCCCAATGTGAGGCAGAGTGGGCAATGTTTGATTTTCACTACCTCTTTCCTCCTTCCAGCAAACAGAACTTTACCTCAGCTCTGAATTTAGTTTCCCACCCATTCCTGTAAATGTTGCACAGTCTACTGTTTGTGCTTTACGAGGTAGCAGAATTTTAAAATAACCATTTATTTTAAAGAGAGATTTTCAGATGTTCCATTGCAAGTTCTCCTGAATCCTAATCATTGCTTCCTTTGTATTCCAGTTGGAACTATTTGCTTTGGTACAGAGATGGGGGAAGAAAGGGAAATGTGTTATATTGATTTGAAAAATCGTATCCTTCCTTGATTTTTTTTTTAACAGGGAGAGTCTGAATAGTTAAATTATTATACTTCAGGCTAAATTTTAAATTTGAGTCCCAAAAAGTTTCTATGCATTTACAATATTATTAAAATATATAAATGCTAAGAACTGTGCTACAGGTGACCCGTATGATCAAATTGGGTTGCTGTGAAAATCTTATGGACTGTCTGAGCTAAAAATAAGTTCAGTGTAAATATTTAATAACTTTTAAGCAACAAATGTCAAAATTTAAGTAGCTGATTTTTTCCTATCTGAAAAAAAGAAGGCTAGTTTTGTCGTTACTTAAGTGTATCTTAAACTTTAGATGTAACTATTTAAGAACCTCAAAATTTGAAGCTCGTGTATAGATAGCACTGCTTGTATTATTTCAAGTTTAAACCCAATCATTTAAAAACCCTTCTAGCCCTATGACTTTTAACTTTTTTACCCTCATCCCTTGACTTTTAAATTTTTTCTCATGTATTTAAATATTGGTTTAATAAACAGAACTGCTTCATACATCTGATTCCCTTATTTCGAAGATAATATTAAGTTTGAACTTTATTGCTTTAAACTTCTGTGTGTGTGTGTGTGTGTTTCCCTCTAAGCTTCGAGCTGGTCCATTTGATGAGTTCCAGATTGCTACCATGCTAAAGGAAATTTTGAAGGGTCTGGACTATCTGCATTCAGAAAAGAAAATCCACCGAGACATAAAAGGTATAAAAATTTAATATAAACCTGAGAAAAATATATGCATTCTGAAGAAGCTAAAGTTTTTTTCATTGTTTTTCCTCCTCCTAGCTGCTAATGTCTTGCTCTCAGAACAAGGAGATGTTAAACTTGCTGACTTTGGAGTTGCTGGCCAGCTGACAGATACACAAATTAAAAGAAATACCTTTGTTGGAACACCATTTTGGATGGCTCCTGAAGTTATTCAACAGTCGGCTTATGACTCAAAAGTAAAGTGTTACCTGTATAAGGTGTTTTGTTTTCGATAATAAGTTTTATATAACATAATGTCCTATTTAATAAACTGCCTTAATTTTTATCCCTTCTAAAAGTAACTTCTAAAGCTAGAGTTATGTCAAATGTTGCTTCTAAATTACAAGTTCCCTTGATGCTGATAATGTTCAGACTCTCTTCCCTTCAATTTCCTTCCATAACACTTGTAACAAATTCCAAGGTCTATACTGTCTCACTACTCTACTCACTACTCACTACTGTACTCACATACAAGGCTCACTAGGATCTTGCCCTTGTCCACCTTTCCATCTTTATCTCATATCACTCTCCTCTATATTTTATCTGCTTCAGCACAGTGGCCTCATTGCTTTTTCAAAACCAAAGCAAGGACACTCTGGCCTGAGGGCTTTTGCATTTAACCCTTCCCTCTATCTGGAATAACCTTTCTCCCAGTCAGTTCTCTACTTTAAACATTACATACACAGAGTCATCTATGTAAATGTGCAGCCCTTTTAACCTTGTCATTCATTATTTTCTTATCCTGAGTGAATTTCTCCACAGCACTCGGCACCACCTGACATCATATTATTTACTTATCTGTCTCTTCTACTAGAACATTAAGCCCTTGGGAGGAGGGATTTTTGTCTGGTTTATTCACCCACCATCTGAGTCTTCAGTGCCTAGAATATGGTACTTGGCACAAAGTAGGGAATTTGATACTTTTTTTTAAACAATGACTTTTATTAAGAAAAATCTATTAACATCATATTTCTTTAGACATTTTAATATTGTTGTGACCATTAGATTTCACAGGCTATTTTGTGACAGTACTTTGGAATGGAATTTCAAGGTGTTTTTTTTTTTCTTTCTCTTAACCTTAGGCTGACATTTGGTCATTGGGCATTACTGCTATTGAACTGGCCAAGGGAGAGCCACCTAACTCAGATATGCATCCAATGAGAGTTTTGTTTCTTATTCCAAAAAACAATCCTCCAACTCTTGTCGGAGAGTTTACTAAGTCCTTTAAAGAGTTTATTGATGCTTGCCTGAACAAAGACCCATCATTTGTGAGTATATGAGGCCACTGTTTCCTATTATTAGATCTGCATATAACAAATGTGTTTTTTCTACATTGAGGAATATAGTGCATGTGAAAATTGTCTAATATCCATCCAGGAACCTGGTTCTTCCTTCTATGTTGCTAATTCTGCTCAATTTTTAACAATATCAGTTTCTTTTTTCTTTCCCTTCTCTGTCTCTTTTTCCCCTTTTTTTCATGGTCTTTAGCTTCTTATTCTAGTGATCATTTCCTATTTTGGGGGGAAATAAATTTGCAAAATAAAATTCACTTAATAAGAAGTCATTATTAAAATATATGTGACTATTCACAATGATTTTTATTCAACTGTGTTTTCACTTTTCATGAAAAGTTATGTTTTCACTTTATTTTTAAATTAATGTTTAGAAATTACAAAATAAAGTTGTATACTTTTCCTGAAGTCTAGTGAGTTCCACTCATTTACCTAGAAAATTTGATTATAGTTATTTTAATCTATTAAAAATAAATCTGCCTTTTAACTTCTAGAAACTATTGTAGACATATATAAGAGCTAAGTTGGATGTAACTTTTGAAATTGATAATAAACATTCTTATATTAATAAAATACTAGGGATGAATAACCACCATACCACCTGGTATTTGTATTTCAATACAATATGAATTAATTAATCTGTGGATCATACAAATGTGTGCAGCTAATAAAGTTACCACTTTACTAGTTTTCATCCATTTTTTTCAATTCACAGTAAATACAGTAAAAAGTACTTCAAAGCATTATTTTGAAATATTTTTGAATTTTTGCTTTATTTTCAAAATCCTGCCTTGTCTTTCTCTGATTTGGGGAAGGCCTTACCTGTCAGTTTGCTGGGTAGATAAGCCATATTTTGTCCAGGGAGCTTTAACAAATTGGTACCAAAGCAGTGAATTTAATTTGGTTGCCCTGAGCCACTTAAAAAGTAGAATTAGCTATTATTGTCCTACAACATTTTAGTTGTCCTTATGCCTACAGACCAACTTTTCTACCTTTCAACTTAATAATTGAAGTGATTTCTTACCCCCTTCACTCATAAAGAGCCTAGAAATAATCATGCATGCTTCATTTTTTCCTTAGCGTCCTACAGCTAAAGAACTTCTGAAACACAAATTCATTGTAAAAAACTCAAAGAAGACTTCTTATCTGACTGAACTGATTGATCGATTTAAAAGATGGAAGGCAGAAGGACACAGTGATGATGAATCAGATTCTGAGGGCTCTGATTCGTATGTACAAATTATTTAATTTGTATTTAGATAGTCTGTTTTAATAGTGTATATCTTTTAACTATGATCCAATATGCTTTCCCTAGCATAAAATATAAACCATATTCCAAAGTTTTACTTTAGAAACTGTGAAAGTCTTTTAAAATCAGACTGTGGAATAACATGAATTTGAAAATGTATCTTTCATACAAGTTAATTGCTCCAGTTTTAAAAGGTCTCAGTCTAACCCCTAGTGGATACTTGAGTATATTACAAAATTTTAGAATAAGATTCAATTAAAGGGGCTATATTAGTTTTCCCAGAGTGATAAGTGGCTATGTCTTCTCATATTTTGTCAACCTACTGAATCCCTCTGGAGAACTGACATGCAAGCCTTTTCTACCTCTTAGCCATGGACCAAACCATAATCAGACTGGTACATTTAAATAGATTAAGTCTTCACTTAACATCATTGATAGGTTCTTGAAAACTGCAACGTGAAACAAAATGTCTTATAATAAGCTTGCCTAGTGTGGCTCAGTGGATTGAGTACTGGACTGCGAACCAAAGGGTCGCTGGTTGAATTCCCAGTCAGGGCACATGCCTGGGTTACAGGCCAGGTCCCCAGTAGGTGGTGTGCAGGAGGCAACCACACATTGATGTTTCCCTCTCTCCCTCTGTTCCCCTCTGTCTAAAAATAAATAAATAAAATCTTTAAAAAATGATGAAAATAATTTTACCACAGAGCAATCAATAGAAACAAGAGTTAAGTTCCTATATGTCTGTTCACAAAAACATCACTGAACTTCTAAATAAAGCATTAATATAAATGTGAGCTATACATACATTTAAGAAAGATGAATAAAAACAAGTCAAACAATTGTTTTCCAGCATGTTTATTACAGTTCAGGGTCTGGGGTGGCCAAAGCCTCTCCCAGCAGCTCAGGGTATAAGGTGGGACCTACCCTGGACAGGATACCCTTCCATCACAGGGTGCACTCACACCCTACACTCACTCAAAGGTAGGACAATGCAGACATGCCAGTTCACCTCACACGCGTATCTTTGGGATGTGAAGGAAACCTGAGAATCTGGAGTATCCAAAGATAAGCAAGAAGTGATAAATGTTAAACTCCACAGAGATAGTGGTCTCAGCCAGGAATTTTTTTTTTTTACCATCACCAACATTATAATGAAACAACATTATTCAGGCACCTGCTATATTTTTTATATACATTTGTACTCCCCCCCAAAAAAAATTGCACTGCTTTTTAATTGCAGCATTTACATTAACATTTTAGCTTTTAAATCCATAACTTAATTTAGACTAGAAAAGTCCATAGACTACGCCAGAATTTATTCCTCCACTGGCTGAAATACTCTCAAAGAGTCCTGCATTACAACAGTGGTTGATTGCTTGGTGGAGGGGAGTATAAGGGGACTAAATGGTAATGGGAAAAAAATACAATAAAGATTAAATTTTTAAAAAAGAAATTGCCTAAATTTTGAAAGGTATAAAAAAATCATACCAGGATAGCTTTGTACCCTATTTTAATGGATGTTGGCCTTAGCTGCCCCTGAGAGTTGCCCATGGAGCCTTAAAAAAACATAGGCCACACAACTGGAGATCCTGATCCAGTCAGTAAGGAGGGTTAAGTGCAGGGCTTTGTATATGGTAAGAGGTCTCCATGTATGATTGTGATGTACACCTAGAGTTGAGAACCATTGCTACTCTTTTGTAAACTGTAGTATCTACTGGTGAGATCAAATGCTTACTTACACTATGATTTTTTAATATATTAGAACACTCTCTTCAGAGTTTGACTGCATTGATTTGGGATTTTTACCAAGATGAATTATTTAGGAACTTATTGAAGTATCTTTGGCAATCATTTTAGGGAATCCACCAACAGGGAAAATAATACTCATCCTGAATGGAACTTTACCACTGTGCGAAAGAAGCCTGATCCAAAGAAGCTGCAGAATGGGGCAGTATGTACATGGAGATGATCACTTCCTCTTGATAGGCTTATTCAAACTATGTAGTGAGATTTTGATGGCCAAAATTGTTGGAATTTAATACCTTTAAAAGCCTCTCTACCTCACTCTGTCCCTAGTATGTTTCATTTGTCATTAGCTTTGAGCTAATTAAGAAAAGGTCATAGAAGTAACCTGTGTGGCCCTGGGATAATTTTAAATATATTTTACCTGGAGGTACACACACATGCAGTGGAATCGTGGCTATCTATCTATTGTAATCCTGTAAATTAAAGCCTTCTAGATGATGGATGGGAATTAGTGATGAAAAGAAAGCATGGAGATTTGTCTTATATTGGGTGTTTTGGGGGTAAGATTCATATTAATGCACTTTTACTATAGAATAACTAAGAAAAACATGAATGAATATTTTACTTTCACGTGTATTCATCTACATTATTTGTTCAAAGGAGAAAGACCTCGTGCAAACTCTAAGCTGTTTGTCTATGATAATCACACCTGCATTTGCTGAAGTAAGTACAGATTCATCATTGTTGGTTATATATCTTAAGAAGTATAGTCATTTTAAATGTTATAGCTATTGATCTCTCTCAGCTTAAACAACAAGATGAAAATAATGCTACCAGGAATCGAGCAATTGAAGAACTTGAGAAAAGTATTGCTGTGGCTGAAGCTGCCTGTCCTGGCATCACAGATAAAATGGTGAAGAAATTAATTGAAAAATTTCAAAAGTAAGCATGAAATGTCATTTTTTAAAAAAATTATCTTGACATTTTCTTTTGCATGTTAATTTAGGATGCAATGTATTGCCTTGATTCAATCATTTCAATTATTCCTAACAAAGTCACTTCTTTTTATTTATTTATTTTTTCAAATACATTTGTCTCTGCCTTCCCCCACCACTTTCCCTTGCCCCCTCCCTCCTTCCCTCCCTCAGCTCTTCCCCTTTGGTTTTGTCCATGAGTCCTTGCTATATGTTCCTTGACTTTCCCCTTCCCTTCCTTTTCCCCCCACCCCCCCTTCCCTCTTGTCTCTGTTGGTTTCTTTTCCTTTCAGTGTTGCTGGTCTTCTTTTCCTTGCATCTTTGTATTGTTCGTTAGGTTCCACTTATAGGTGATATCATATGGTATTTGTCTTTCGCCCCTGGCAAAGTCACTTCTTAATAGCTGTATGCTTAAAAACTGTTTTGTTCTATAATTCATCTTCTTTATATTATATTGTGTGTTCACCACCCCAAGTCAATTCTTCCATCACCATTTATCCCCCTACTTTACCCTCTGCTACCACCTCCACCATCCTTTCCCTCTGGTAATCACCATACTGTAGTCTGTGTCTATGACTTTCTTTTTCTTTTTTTGCTTAAACCTATATAATTTTATTAACCAATGTTGCCCCAATAAATTGAAATAAAAGCAGAAAAAGAAAAAAATTAGAACTATTTTGTTTGTTACCCATCTTAAACAATAGCTTTTGGAATTATTATCTTCAGGCATTACAAAGTAATTTTCCACTGAATTAAATGTCTTGTTTTTTTGTTTTTTTTTTTTTCATCTTTCCCTGCTAGTAGGAGTATAAACAAAAGGTTATATATAGAGCATATTTTTACTGGAGCCCTTGTAAACACAATTTAGGAATGCTTTCATTTTTGCCACTAGGCTCATCACACCATTTACATAGTTTCCAGTGCTAAAGTTCATAAGTTTAATCCCCATAAAAATGTTAAGGAAGTGATTTTAGGTAGATGAACTCAATGAAGACCATGAATATTCCTTATAATTAACTTTAGTTTCTATACTGTGTCTTAAACTGTTGGTTTAAATTTTGTTCACATTCAATAAAGTTCTGATATTTAATTTTAAAATTCTCTTTTTAACAAGGCTTTTGTATGCAAACAGAACTCCGTATCTCAGGCAATTTAGAAAACAATACAAATTTTACCCTTAATTCCAGTATATTGCTTCTTAGTGCATCCTTATATTTCTTTGTAATTGTGATGCCATTGGCATTCAAGTAGGAACAAATTATACAACCTGTAAGAGCCCACACTCTGATAAATCTTCCTATCTGATATAGATAGCCTGCTTGTAGTTATAAATTAATGCCCTTCTTAAAATCCCTTAGACTTTAATGGGAAACTCCCCTCTCTTTACCAATTTGTAAACATATCAAATAACAGTTATAAAATCAGGTTCAGAAGAGATTTTTTTAACTTCTTTATATTTTAACATCACCATGATAAGATTCAATAGGACTTAGTTTGCTGAATCAGTTCTTTTATTGCAGATTTCATACAGATGAGAAATATAAACATGCATAGTTATATATCAATTTAAATTTTTCTTAATTTTACAGGTGTTCAGCGGATGAATCCCCCTAAGAAACTTCTTGTGGCTTTTATTTCATACGGACCTAGAGAAACCCACCAAAGTTATTTCAAGATTAATAATGCTTAACTCATGAGCTCCATGTGCCTTTGGATCTTTGCAACACTGAAGATGTAGAAGAAGCTATTCAACTATTTTGTGATGGTGTTTATCATTTTATATTTTAAAGAACTTATTTTGTAAGGAATAATTTTTAATACTATAGTTTCATCTGCTTTCTAGTAAATGTTGAGATACATTTTGCTTTTAGATATTACTATGTAAGTTACTAAGATGAATACATTTCATGTTTTGATCTTTAGTTAACTGTACACTGATGAAATATACAGGTCTTTCAAAGTCATCCTAAATATTCAACTTTTGTAAATCATCAAGCTTCAAAAAGTTTTTGTTTTGTTTTTTAACACAAGCATATTCTACAGTGACTGTTGGTAGAGAGGTAAAAACAAGCCACCACTTCTTAAACAGAATGTTTTGATAAACTCTTGAAAATAATACCTGGAAAAGTACTGACTGTTCTACAAAGTTGGTATGAAATTTCAGGTAGCTCATTGCTGATCACATTGAAGAGCCCCATGTTTAAAGCATTTATAGGCAACATGTAGCAACAGACGTACCTCTTGGTGTGCAGTATTTATCTTCTCTTTTAGAAAAGGCAATTAACTTTTATTTAACATGGTTGGGGATTTAATGCAATTCCAATTAGTCAAGGGTGGAATTTTGGTAATACTGTAGGAATTAGTCAGGCTTCATTTTTAACATCTTCAATTTAAGTAGCATAGTATATGCTTGGATTTAGGGAGCTTAAAAAGTGGATTATCATGTGATTAAATACCTGAACAACAGGTAGGAATATAATTTACACCAGCATATTTTTGTCATGGTAGTAAAATACCCTGTAAACTATTTATACATTTTTATTCTCCATAATCATCCAGTACATAAGCATCATTTGTTCAGTTTTGAAAGGATATTTAAGTAGGCATTTTCTAGTTCATATGGAAATAACCATAGTACAGGATGATTTCTGTCCCTACAAAGGTAAGTTAGACTGTACGATTAATTTTCAGTTATATTTATGGTACTGTTATGTGGATAATGCCTTTTTTAAGCACAGTATGTATGTGTGCGTGTGTATATATCCTCCCTAAGTTCTGACTGTAGTTGTAGAATTATTGATATTAGTTTATTTTAATACTTAATGTTTTATTGTTTGGAACTGCACAATTTAGTTATTACACAAAGGTCATTTAGTCATTTTTAAAAATCTGAAAATTGCTAAATATTAGAAGATATTCTTAAAGAGTACAGTTTCTAGTCAAAGTGGCCATTACCTGTTCTTTTTTTGTAATAATAAAGACACTTGAATAAGTTGTTGTCATATACCAAGAAAGTTATTTTTATTGGTGTCTATACTTTAACAATTACTTTTAACACATTGTATTTTGAAGTAATAGTTCAGCTAAAAACGTCTATGTAACTGAAATTCAATTACAGTTTATAACCTATAGAGGTCAGGGAATAAATTTGCCATGCATATCATGAATTAAATGACTATTTTTGTAAAAGTAAAAGCAATCAATTTGTAAATCAATTATTTGAAACTTTACAACACAATTGCATCATGAATAGAAATTGTATTGCCTATTCACTCTAGTTGTTAGTCCTGTAAACTGTTTCTAGGGGAAGTGTTTTGGTGGGTTAAAATAAATATTTAAATTTCACAGCCCTCAATGTTTGTTTTCTTGAGGAATGTATATGATATTTAAAAAAAAATTTCATTTATTTATTTTTAGAGAGAGGGGAAGGGAGGGAGAAAGAGAGGGAGCAAAACATCAATGTGTGGTTGCCTTTCACGTGCCCCCTTCTGGGGACCTGGCCTGCAACGCAAGCATGTGCCCTGACGGGGAATCAAACTGGCGATGCTTTGGTTCGCAGGCCAGTGCCCAATCCACTGAGCCACACCAGCCAGGGCTATATATGGTATTTTAATTGTTTCAAATTATTTCTCCTTTGCCGTTTAATTTATTGTTGGAACTTTAAGACCAGTATTTCCATTGAAAACTGAAACATATTCTTTTATTTATTTTTTTATTTTTATTTTTTTCAAATACATTTGTCTCTGCCTTCCCCCCATCACTTTCCCCCGCCCCCTCCCCTCTGTCCCTCCTTCAATCCTTTCCCACTTTGGCTTTGTCCATGAGTCCTTGCTATATGTTCCTTGACCTGACCCTTCCCTTCCTTTGCCCTGCCCACCACTCCCTCCTTCCTTCTCGTCTCTGTCGGTTTCTTTTTTTCTTTCATTGTTGCTGGTCTTATTTTCCTTGCATCTTTGTATTGTTAGTTAGGTTCCACTTATAGTTAAGATGATATGGTATTTGTCCTTTGCCCCCTGGCTTATTTTACTTAGCATAATGCTCTCTAGTTCTATCCATGCTGTCGCGAAGTGTAGTAGTTCTTATTTTCTTTCTGCTGCGTAGTATTCCATTGTGTATATGTGCCATAATTTTTTGATCCAATCATCTACTGATGGGCAACTAGGCTACTTCCAACACTTGGCTAATGTAAATTGTGTTGCTATGAACATTGGGGTGCATAGGTTCTTTTGAATTGGCATGAAACACATTCTTTATATTTTTATTAAGCATTGATTATAGCTACAGTGACCATTTCTGCCTCCTGTCCTGACAAAATTAGTAATAGAGTCCTCTTTCACTCAAAAATGTCCTAGGTTGGACAGTAAATTATATGGTCACCTCTGATTATAGTTTTTATTAGAAAATCTTTAAAAGATATTAATCCTATAGGTGTCTAAAGAAAACAAATTTTACAGAGACTTGCAGAAATTGAAATAACAGCATATACACCTAAGTGAATTTGAATTTTTCCTAGATAAAAGGTCAAAGATGAACTTAAGATGACTTTGAGGTATATAAGATTAATATATAGGTGATTGGACTTCAATATAAGGGTAGGCAAAAATAGGTTTACCATTGTGAGTATGCCAAAAAACACAGAGTTAACAAAACTATTGTAATAACCATAACCTGGCCCTGGCCAGATAACTCAGTTGGTTAGAGCATCATCCCAATATGCAAAGGTTGCAGGTTCAATCCCCAGTCATGGCACATACAAAAAGCTACCAATGGATGCATAAATAAGTGGAACAACAAATCAGTGCTCGCTCTCTCTCTCTCTCTCTCTCTCTCTCTCTCTCTCCCCCTCCTCTCCTCCCCCCTTACCCCCTACCTCTATCCTGCATAATCATAACCTGCATGTCTTTTTCCATATGAACAACTATAAACCTACTTTTGCCCACCCCTGTATATTCTTAACTATTCTACACCTGTAAGTTACTGGATAGATCCCAGGAGCAGAGAAGAAAATGCTAGAATATGAGAAAGGTATAGAGGGAGGTATATTAAAAGTAATTTTTCTGATGTGAAGACTAGGTGAATAAGGAACCCATTATATCCATCTTTCCTCCATTAAGTCATATATAAAAATAGCTTGCTTATATAATTGCATCCTTTTTTTTAAGTTAGTACTTAACATTATCTTATAAATATGTTGTACTTAACACTAAAATCCATTAAAAATGATGTTCTTAAATAGAATGCTATGCCTTCAAGGAGGAATAGTAGAAAAATTCTGAATGGGTCAAAAATAGAATTTTGGTTTATTAACTCAGTTTAACTGTAGTACTGTCCTTTTTCTTTTCAGCTAACCCAGTTCTACTACTTCTTTATTCATGACTATGCATTTCCGCCTGCCTCCCTTCTTTTACTTGTTCTCTAACTGTCCCTTCCCTTACTAACAGTCTAGACCCAATCACTCCTGAAATGTATTAAAACAAAAGGAAGATAATACTTACAACTTGCTTTTTAAATAAATGATTTCCATCACTTGGTTAAAATAGTGTTCATCTCATTTCCTTACCTACATATATGCAACAAAATATAGCAAAAAAAAATCCTTGCATGAAGATTAGATAAACCAACAGATAGCCTTTATCTTTCACTACATATAATAGTTGAGGGAAAAAAAGAATAGAGAAGTAATATTAGACATAATATCCTCAGCAGGCGTATATCTGGCTTTAGAAATTGATTCATTTATTAATTTCTAAGGTTTAGAATTCTGCCAAGTCCTAGATAAATTATGAACTGTGTTCTGTTGGGAGAGTCTATGACACCATTACATTCCTGAGCTTTAGGAGGGCCATGTTCCCTTAACATATGTTACAAAAATTGAAGTTCTTAACATTACAGGACTATTTTTACTGGGAAGATAATGAGGACAGAAACCTTTAGTCACATAGTACTGTTGAAGAATAAAATAACTAACACAGTCACAATCTACTAAATCACTACATGACATCAGAAGCCAATTCTATATGCCAACACAGAGTCACCATTCTTCAGTGTTAAGGGGCTTGAATTTCATTTATAATGTCTCTATGGGGAAATGTATCGTGGAGATGACAAATACCTACCTCACTTCACCACAGTGCTAATGAGGAAAGGGCATTTTCCACAGTCCCTTCAGAGGGAATAGAAGAGTGGAGCTTGATGAACTCTGCTGCAATTGGATCTTTCGTAAGCTAAGTGCCCAAACTTAGATTTACCTTAATACCAATGAATAGTAACTAAGAAAATGGTTTCTGTAGAAGGTTCCTTACCTAACTTGATAACAGAACTGGTGCAGAAATGGTCACAGAGTTTGTACTTTTAAGTTAAAAAATAATTACATGGTTTTAACAAAGTCCTGTCTTCAGCAGTTGGTGTCTTAAAATAAACATTTTCATCTTCTCCTTCTAGCTGTAGACTACCAGAAGACAAGCGGATGCTGGCCATGGGCAATTTCAGTCCTTTAGCATACAAAGAGTAATAGTCTGGCTTAATCTCTGATTCAGAATCACTGGATTCACTAGCTACATAACTTTCTGCTGCTCCCTGATCCATTAGAACTGTTGGAAATTCCTGCTCTGCAAACATATAAGTAAACAGGTCAACTTTGCGGCTCAGAGCAGGACAGGGTCCTAAAGGTCTAAATTCTGACCCAAAAGGAAAACGGATAGTTTTCATGTCTGATTGGCTCTGGGACCGTTTAGGGGTTTCCTCTTGAATATCACACGCAAATGCATCTTCTAAATTTGTGTCTTCTAGACCTACATTGATGTTTCTCCTACCACTAGTCCTGGCCATAGCTTCTTGGAGTTCTTGAACGTCTCGCTGAAAGCTCTTCATTCTGATATTCCTTGGGCTTCTTTTGGCTGCCTTCATTGTAGTGGGATCTAGATGGCTGTCTGACCTTTCCCTTTCTTCTGTCATGTTTGGAGACCATCTGGGCACCTGGGGTTGTTTGTCTACATAAAAAAAGACTTGGGGAGGCATAATATCAACCTGCTGACCAACACAAGGAATATAGGGCACATCTGTGTAAGTTAGCTTTCTTGCTGGACTCACTCTGCTTGTAAGGCCAGAAGAGGTGCTCATGCGATTGTCAGCAAACTTACAGCTTGTTTGGAAGGAGCTTAGAGCACTTCGTTCCTCAAAGTAGTCCCTGGGATCATTGTCAGGATCTGGGTCAGTGTTAAAGACAGGATCCGTATAAATAAAAGGGAAAAAACTACTATGCGACTGATGTAATGATGTGGGATCTGCCTCTGGTTTGGAACGTTCCAGCTCAGCTGCAAATGTCACCTCCACTGCAGAGTTTCTCCTTCTACTGTCTAGCACAGGCTCAGATGCATGTACTCCATTCACACTTCGGTAGTACCCACTGCCATATGCTAGTCTCAAATCTTCCACCTTGAGAGAAAGGACATATTGGTGAAAGAAGGCAAAGGCCATTTGGTTGGGGTGGGATCAAGGATCTAAATTAACCTTAAGTTTCGCAAAGGTGGTTTTTCACAAAGTTTTTTTAAGTCATTTTCTATTACACAGTTGATATAGATAGAAGGGGTAATAAGTTGTACCATATCCAAATTCATGTGCAAAAATACACATGACACTGTCCTTTCTCAATGCCACCCCACTCCCAACCTCCAAGTTCTCTATGTACTTCAGCCAGCATTGTTCTTTAAGCAATATGGTTTAGTAGTTATATCATGAGCCAGGAGTTCTGACTTCTGGTAGTGGCTCTGCCTTTGACTTGCTATGTGACCTTAGGCAAGTCTTCTAACCTCACTCCTCCTTCTTCCTCCCTATTTTCTGTAAAATGGTGATGAGGCCTATGAATGTCATGAGAAGGTTGTAGTTTAGAAGGTACATTTCAATGATATATCTTTATGATTCCTTCCAGATAAAAACTGCCTGTAACTTGACTGAAGACATGAGAGTTTTTGAGACTTATAACTAATTGTTTTAGTGATGGTGAAATAAACATTAACATGGTTCATACTATCATACTCAAATGAAGCCATCATCTCACAGTTCCAAGAGAATAGCACTTTGTTCTTAAATTAAGTTACAGAATTATACAGCAAAAGTACTGTAAAACCTTAACCCAATACCTTATAGTTTTCTCTAATCCTTAAGGTTTTTATCAGTAAATAATCAGAGCCTTTATTTTTAAAAATATGAAGTCAGAAATTCATTTGGCTCTACATTTTGCAAGATGTTAGCATCGCAAAAAAAATGGTCTTCTATTAGCTAGAAATACTGAGCTAACAGACCTTCCCAGGAGGCTAACTTACTTAAACATAGTAACCTTTTTACACACTGGGAGATTCTGACAGAATCAATTCTTGGAAGTTTTGGAAATGACACATTACACTTATCTAAAGAAAAAGGCACTTTCAGAAAGCTTACTTGTTTTGAGACATCAGAGAGGAGGTCTGGTGAGGACCTGCACTGTCGTTCATGGTACTGAGATGGATAATGTCTTCTGAAATTACCAAACGAAGAATGAATTGAAATGGTCATTATGTGAATATGGAATGCATATAAATCTCTGAATTCAACTTAAAATCAATGAGAGAGTGCACAAAACAAAATCATGTACCTTTCAAATGGCAAGCTCTTCAACCTCCCTTTTTTTCCATATTCCAAAAGTTGCCTTTGGGTTCTTCCACTATTTTAAGAACATGATAAATATGTTATTAATGCTAGTTGTAAACCAGTAGGCTACTAAAACTCAAAAGACTCATTTATTGTGGAGATCAAAGGTCTGGATGGATGACATATGTCATGAATCTTTGACCACCATGTTAAAAATAATACCCACTTAGCTAGCCATCAGGCATAGTACAACTTCAACTACTCAGAACCCAGAGTTGAGTTCAGAGACATTTTTTTCTTAAGTCTCTTAATACAGCTACATAACAGTTAAAAATTCTAGCCTTGGAAACTAATATAATTTTCTTTATAGGCTTTTCCCCTACTTCCAAATTTACACACGATTTCTAATGAGGCTATTTAACTGGTTTCCTAATGCATAACAGAAGAAAAACAGCTAACTGAAGAGTAGAAGACGGTTGCTCCAGTGAGTCAGACAAGGAAAAAAGCCAGCTGACTACTGGGAGAAACGCAAGATCCAAAAAAGATAATCACAAGGACAATAAAGCCCCACAAGTCTAAGTCACTTATCACTGAGGTACAGGGTCTGACATGTCTTCCCCATCCTGAGGCCATCACTGTACTACAGCTACCTGCAGAGGATAGTAAATGATACTTATAATTATTTAGTCCATTAAAAATAGTAAAATATGATCAGTATCATCTGTTTAAGAAGATGAGGAACTATAGATTACATTTTGGAAAGATTCCATAAAAATATGCATGTTTTAAAAATCTCAGTTCTTACTAGAGCAGGCTTCCACTATTTGAAAAATCCCATATGGGAAACATTTTATTAGAATACTTTCATCTTAGCAAGGAGTTTTGAAAGGTTCTTCCAAAGAATTCCTAGAGTGGTGTCATCAAGAAAAAACAAGATTTTATTTAGGTCTCGTTTCTATTCCTCCAAGGTGTTACCTGTAGTAAGGAGCTTCTATTGCAGTATTACACAAATTTTTTAATCCCTTAGTCCCTCTCATGCTTTCTCATGCTATCTTTTGCCTAACCACCACCAAAAGGTGTTGTTGAGCTGTCTTTTCCATGGCTTGCATGTAAGTTTCATATAAGCAAAACAATAGTTTCAGTGAATATGTTTTCTCAAATTGCACATGTCTCCTCATTCTTGCAGAGATTCCGATCTAACCCCTTAAGTAGGGCATCCCCTTCCTACTGCCTCCCATTTAGAAAATATTGACTTAATGTGTTACACAGAGAATGAGCAGTAAAGGGTATCGTTTTTAGGTGATTGAAATGAATTCATTATTGCTTCTAGAATCCAAGCTCCTCCTACTGCCTTCCATGTTATTTAAAAGTTGTGTGTGTAGTTTACCTATATGCAATATTAAATTACCTGTAGCGGAAATTGGAACCCTTGCTGCAGAGAAGGGCTTTGGGTTTTGATTTGGGCTCTTCAGAGAGTCTGAAGAAAGCATGATATTCCACACAAGTCTTCCAGAAAGCCTTGCAGGCATCTCGACTGGCCATGGTGAACTCCAAGGTGTCCTTGCACAACACCTGTATAAACCAATTTCCATCAAGCAAAACAGCCTTCAAGAATATAAAGACCTTCAAATCCCAACACCTTCCAAACTATTGGTCCTGGTACCCATGCAGCTTCTGGTTTTTCACTTGGCTCCCTGAAGGCTTCACACCTACTGAAACCAAATGATTGGCAACATTTCAAGAAACAGTGAGGGCCACTGCTCAAAAACAGCCTTGTCTAAGAAGCAAATCTTACCTTGCCCACACCCCTCACCTCAAACACTTTCTTACCCCTCTTCTCTGCCAGGAACATTCTTATGAAGTTGTAAATTAGGTTAAAATGAACATCAAAGGGCAACTTTTCAAGGTAACAAGCTATAAATGAAAAACAGGAAACAGGAGGGGGGAAGATTTCTTTACAGATGGCAGGCTTTATAGGGTGATTACATATGCATAAATCTTTTTAATATACCTACTAGAAACACTTATTCCTCTCTATGTTGCTTTGTTCTATGGTGCTTTGTATTGTTCATTTAACATACTCTAATCTGCTCTTGGGGGAACTTAGCTTTCCAGACCTGAAAGTCAAGGTTTTCCTATTCCCTTGATTCACTATATACTCCCATTTCCCACTGCAGGGGTGTAGCCATATTTTCAGCAGCCTCACCAGCCCACTTTGAATGCACCTCCAATCTCTTATTCCTTTCCATGTTCCTATATAAATCCCTGAGACTTTCCATGAGCTTCATGCTGGATACAGTCTCCTGATGTTTCTATATAAGAAGAAGATCCAAAGATTGAAGCCCAAACTACTGGATCTTCTGCAGGTCAAGATATAAGTTGATACATATGTTTCATTTACTTTATAGTCATAAAAAGAACATCCTTTCTGGTACCTTTTTCTTATCCTGTACAAAGAAGCCTTCACCAATAATTGCTTTTGCTTAATATACATCTATCCCTCACATAGCTTTCGTAAATTGTAGGTGTTCAATTATTTGGTGTGTAGTAGGTGTTTGATTATTTTTGCTTAAGGAAAGAAGATTAAAATACTTCATAAAATAGAGCAGACAAGAGCATATGAATATGTCTATAGTCTTAGATCTGGTCACTTCTATGTGACTCATCAGATCCCTGAAAAAATAGTTTCTAAGAAAACTTATCTTTCACCCCAGCCACCCCATTTTCCTAGTACTTTATTCATTATGAATTGCCAATAGGATTTCTTTCTGTTCTGCCTTTAGTAAAAATATGGCTAAGTAAAGCTCTGGTTTATTTATATAGAGGCAGAAGAGGGAGCACATCACCCTTCAGTGCCAGCTAGCTTTCATCACTCACATTAAAGCCATTTGCAGAAACAACCAAGAAATCTCAAGTGAACAGAGAGTAACAGAATTTATTAGAAAGCTACTTACCAAGACATTGGCATGAAGTTTGATGAGAAAATGCTTTCTCTTAAAACTCAACTTGCGGATTTTAGCCCAATTGAAAGTATTAATCTTTGTATTTCCCTATAATGAAAACATAACTGATTTCAGGATGAAAGTCAGCACAAGCTGGTTTTTCAGACAATGCAAACCTGTTAGAAGATGCAGGCTGATCCTGTCATACTTGGTAGAAGCTGTGAAGCCAATGAAGCCTGCATTGGTAGAAGCCAGTGAAGGCATTACAGTTGGGACACATACCCCTTTCACATGTATTACTTAGCATCCTGTACTTCTAGCACAGAGCACATCATATTTGCTTATATTGGACTGGCCAAAAAGTCTGTATGTTTTTTTCAATAAAATAAAGGACACATTTTTCATTTTCACCAATAACTATTGATTTGGATATTTTAAGTATGTCAGCTATCTCCCACATGGTAATATTAATTGTTCTCAACTAACGTCTCGATTTGATTGCTATCAACTTCAACTGGTTTAACCCAACAATGGAGCATCATCCAGCAAGAAATCTCCAGCAAGGAATTTCATAAACCACTTCTGACATGTTCAATCAATCACAGTCCCTTCTCCACACACTGCACAAATCTTTTTTGTGTGTTTCAGTTGTGCTTTTACATTTCTTGAAATAATAAAGCATAATATTTGAAAAAAAGTTGCATATTTTCTTCCATCTTCAATATTGAAGTGGCAACAAAAAATTCACCAATTTTGATAAAAATTTTTAAATGCACGCTAATATGACAGCTGTCATCATACAATTTAACAAAATTGTTTCAGATGAAGTTAAAGACAAGCACTACTAGAGCCATCTTATGGAACAACAACAAAAAAAAAACAAACAAATTTTTGGCCAACCCAACAATTACTTGTTTCATTATCTGTCTTCCCCCTATTAGAATGCAAATTTCACAAGGTCAGGATAATTCCTATTTACCTCAATAGCTCCAGTACCTAGCACAGAGTGAATGCACAATAAATATATTGACAGAAGGACAAATAAAATAGATTGCTGCCCATTTCTGTAAATACTCTCAAATCCATTAAATTTTACAGGTAAAACATATGAATTTTGTGGGATGAAAATTATATATCAATAAAGATGGGTTTGTTTTTTTAAAAGAAAATAATACAATGAAGAACGCACAGAAGGTACTCAATACCAACTATTCTTTGACTGGATTTGGGTAGGACAAAATAGACCAGTTATATTGTTCCCAACTGTCCACAGAAATATTCACACTGAAAGAGATCACAGCTAACATCACAGCTTTGCTTGTCTACCCTCCCCATCTACTCCCATATAGTAGGAAATACCAAAGGTCAGAGTTAGAGTGGAATGGGTTAAATTTTCATCCTGTGTGAACAGGTATGCCAGTGATCCATTGGTCTTTTACCCACTAATGTGACGCATGCCCTAAAGTTCATAACCAAATAAAGGAGAAGGCAAAGATTATTTTAGTTGAGTCTGTACCTGACCTGCTTTGTGACTTATTTCACTGCTCTAATTTGGTCCTTTGGGTCAATGGGTCTGAGGTTACCACTTCCTCTCACACATGTGATTCATTTCCAAACCTGCCTTGGTATCTGCTTTTCATTTCAAAGTTTAAGCAAGTGTTCTTGACCCTTAACATGGATCTAAATTCACTGAATGTTCACAGATGCGAGTAGACCTAATAGACTGAAAAAAAAAAATACTGAAAAAAAAATAACTTCTTCCCAAGTTCCCAGGAGTGAGGTTTAAAGACAGAAAGAGCCCTGAGCTGGTTTCCAACCTGGAAAACAAAGTCACAAAGTCATGGGTAAAGATGAACCAGTAAACAGAAACAATTGCTAGCAGGACTGGGCACCCATTCTTTATTGGCTGACACTGGGTGCCTCCAATAAAACCAGTAAATGGATAAGAACACCACATTTTAGACCCTTTGAGTTGTTTCTGGTGGATCTGTCACAGCCTAAGCTTTTAGGATGCCAAAATCCATATTCTTATTTAGAGTCTAGGAGTTCCAAAGAGCCTCTTGGCTTCCTCTCTCTATCATGCTTGCCTGATCTAATGTGTGAGCTCCTCAGAATCAAAACAGTCAGTTACAGACTGCAGATGGAAGCAAACCACATTGAGGGGATAAGATGGACTTGGAACACTTCTAAGGATCACTTCACTTTCTGGCTGGTGGTAAGACTGAGGAGCTGGGTCACCTTGGGAACAAACACTCAAGTTTGAACCAAGATAACACCCAAAGCTGAGGTACTTTAAAGGAAGGAGTCATTACCCGTAACACCAGTACTCCCATGTGAGTAACAGCCAGGTGGATTTGCATCCCTTCACCGTCACTGGCGGGGTGAGGCCTGATGCCATACATATCCAACTTCCTTGCTATGTCCAGTAGCAGAATATCAGATTCAGCTGGGCTCCTGCCACTGCAAGAAGAATTTATGAGCCTAATAAATGCAACATGAATGACAACTTCACCCTGAGAGCTTCATGAGGAATTCCATGTTTTCTTGGGCTTGAAGCTTCTCTGACTGAAGAGTTTGCTTTTAAGAGGCTGTCCCCAGCTGCAGTGTTCCCTGCTGGAAGAAGCAGGTGACAGTTAAAGTACTTACATGTGCTTCTGATGAAAGTGTATGATCTTGCTCTCTAAACAGTCTTGGTTCGGTAAGTACTGGGTTTGTGCCAAGTGATTCTTATCTGTTTCTTCATAAAAGTCTCCCAGTTCTGCTGCATAATAGAAAAGTGACATTTTTCACATTACCATTGAGGGGGTAAGCAATGGAGCATCTAGTAGACCCGCTGACCTCCCCAAAACAGCCATTTCTTTGCAGCCAATGCATCCAAAGCCTCCTGCCCTGCTTTATGCCTATTTATGTTTTTCTTTATATTTATGTTTAGGATATGCAGGGGAGTCTAACTGCTTCTTTTTTCAATCAAAAGCAGTGAATGCTATGAAGTCTCTGCGTAACTCATAGATTAAAATGTAGGTCTTAAAAACCCTAAATTCACATATTATTTTGTTTTCTTCCTTCTCCTGCATTCTGTTTATGGTCTCTTCCATGTCTGTTCAGTCTCTGTTATAGGTTGAATTGTTTCTCCCCCTCTCAAATTCATACATTGATGTTTTAACCCCTAGCACACAAGAATGTGACTGTATTTGGAGATAGGGTCTATAAAGGAGTGATTAAGTTAAAATGAGCCAGAAGGGTGTCCCCTAATCCAATCTGACTGGTATCCTTATAAAAAGAGGAAATTTAGACACACAGAGAGATGCTAGGAATGCCGGTGCACGGAGGTAAGAGCAGGTAAGGACGGCATCATGAGGGATGCCAAGGAGAGAGGCCTCAGAAGAAACCAAAACTTCAGCCTCAGAATTCTACTCTCCAGACATGAGAAACTAATTTCTGTCATTTAAGCAACCTAGTCTCTGGCATTTTTTTTATGGCAGCCCCTACAAACTAATTCAGCCTCCTAACTATAATGCAAGGCAATCACAGCTATCTGTAATCCCCAGTAGATAAATCATTCTGGCTTAAAAAAAAAAAAAACATGGATTTTTAAAAAAAATTTTCCTGAAGTTTAAATATTTTATTGTTGTTCTATTACAGTTGTCCCAATTTTTCCCCCTTTACCCTCCTCTGCCAGCTCACCCCCTACTCCTACAGTGTCCCCACACTGTTGTCCATGTCCATGGGTCATTCATACATGTTCTTTGTCTCGTCCCTTCCCCTTCTTTTCACCATTACCCTCCTCCCCACTATCCTCTGGTCACGGTCAGACTGTTTCATGTTTCTACGTCTCTAGTTCTATTGTGCTCATTAGTTTGTTTTTGTTCATTAGGTTCCTCTTATAGATGAGATCATATGGTATTTGTCTTTCACCCACTGGCTTATTTACTTGCAGTTTATCCTTGATCATAATCTACCCTTTTCTAGATGTGTCCAGTTTGTTAGAAATTTTTATTACAGCACTGTCTACTAAGGCAATCGAGGTATATAGGATCATCTGACCCCACAGTAAATGGCTTCAAACTGTCAGATTGTTATGAATTGCTTTCTGATTATTGACTTCCCTTGAAGAGGTAAGTCTCTACTTGGTTCTAAATTGTGACTTCTAATGTACCATAAAATGGGAACCCAAAATTATTTTTCTAATTAAAATTCACATTGAAACATTTTAAAAAATGGGAATACAGATATCCAAACCTCTTAGCAGTTTATGAATTGTAAGAGTAAATAGACATTCCATAAATTCCATGTTGCTCTCCTATTGGGTAAAATACATGGATGGAAATGGAAGCAACCATATTGAGTGCTAGGAACTTAATTTCTCTTTTATGTTCTATTGTGTTTTTTAAGTGCTCACCCAAGGACATGTTTATTGATTTTCGAGAGGGAGAGAAAGAAAGAGAGAGAGAAAGAAAGAGAGAGAGAAACATCTATGGGTTGCCTCCCATACAGGTGCCAACTGGAGATCAAACCTGCAACCTAGATATGTGCCCTGACCAGGGACTGAACCTTCAACCTTTCGGTGTACAGGACAATGCTCCAATCAATGAGCCACGCAGCCAGGGCTCTACTGGGTTTTAGACAAAAGGCATACTCATTTTTAGACATGTGTAGTATATATGTATGTATTTTTAAAAAGATTTTAATTTCACAGAAAGGAAAAGGGAGGAAGAAAGAGAGGGAGAAAAACATTGATGTGTGAGAGAAACATTGATCAGTTGCCTCTTGCTCGTCCCTAACCAGGGATCTGGCCCACAACCCAGGCAGGTGCCCTGATTAAGAATTGAACTGGACACCTTTTGGTTTGCAGGCCAGTGCTCAATGCACTGAGCCACACCAGCCAGGGCTGTATAGTTGTTGTTTTTTAAATCACATTATAATGAAAATCTCTATATAATAAGCTTTCTTAAAGATTAAGTGAATGGATTTTATTTATTGCCAAAATTGATAAATGTACATATTTCTTTAAAATTTACTCAGGTACATATGATTTCAGTGATTAATTCTATCAAGTATTCAAAGATTGTATAAATGTCAATTTTTACAAGCTCTTCCAGAAAATAAAGAAATGAATACTTACCAACTAATTCTATGAGGCCAGTATTACTCTGATACCACAACCAGACAAAGGCATCATGAGAAAAAAAAACTACATACAGATCAATATCCCTCAGGATACAGAGGCAAAAATACTAAACAAAACTCTAATAAACTGAATCCAGCAATATGTAAAAAATATATACATTATGACAAAGTTAAATTTATCCCAAGATTGCAAAATCAGTTCAACATGTGAAGGTTAATTAATATAACACACAATATTAATAGAATAAAGGACAAAATATATATTATCATCTCAATAAATGCAGGAAAAAAGCATTGGGAAAAACCCAACACCAAGTCATGATAAAAATATTCAACAAACAAGGAATAGAAGGGAACTTCTTCAAGCTGAAATAAGTAAACTATTAAAATCTACAGCTAACATTATAATTACACTAAGTGGTGTGAAACTGAATGCTCTCCCTTAGGACCAGGAAGAAGACAAGGATGTCTGCTCTTGCCACTTCTATCTAACCTTGTATTGGTGGTTCTAATCAGTGCAATCAGGCAACAAGAAGAAATATTTTAAAATTGCACTAAAAAGGAGGAAATAAAATTAGCTTTACTTGTAATCAACATGGTCCTGAATGTAGAAAATCCTAAGGAATCCACACACACACACACACACACACACAAAAAAACACTAGAACTAATGTATGAGTTCAGCAAGGTAATGAGATAGAAGATCAATACACAAAAAGTCATTGTATTTGTATATACTAGCAACCAAAAAATCCAAAAATGAAACTAGGAAAACAATGTCATTTAATAACATACAATAACATATATAAAGAATAAAGTACTTGGGAATAAATTTGACAAAATATATGTAACACATATATTGAAAAGTATAAATATTGCCAAGATACATTTTTAAAAGACCTATATAAATTGAGAGACATTTCTAGTTCATAGTTTTGAAGACTCAACATGATAAAGATTGTAATTCTGCCAAAATTGATGTACAAATTTAATACAATCATCATCAATATTTTGTATAAATTGAGAAATGATCTTAAAATTTATAGGATACAAAATAACAGAATAATCTTGAAAAAGAAGAGCAAAGCTGAAAGATTTACACTTCCCCATTTCAAAGCTTAATATAAAGCTACAGTAAAAAAGACAGTGTGGCAATGACATAAGGACATATAGGTTAATTAAACATAGTTGAAAATCCAGAAATAAGCCCTTACATCTACAGTCAGTTAGCTTTTGACAAAGGTTCCAAGACAGCTTACTGGGTAAATAATAATAATCTTTTCAACAAGTGGGACAAATGGACAGCCACATGCAAAAAAATAAAAAAGGAAAAAAATGAAATTAGATTCCTATCTTGCACAATTTCCCATGAAAGCATACAAAAAGAATTTAAAATGGATCATAGACCTAAATCTAAGAGGTAAGCCTATAAGCATTCTAGAAGAAAACTTAGGAGAAAATCTTTGTGACCTTAAGTTAGGCAAAGAGTTCTTATATATTACAACAAAAGCATGATTCACTAAACAAATTGAGAAAATATAATTCTACCAGAATTAAAAACTGTTGCACTCCAAAAGACACTATTAAGAAAATGAAAAGTCAAGTCACAGATTGTGGAAAAATAGCAAATAACATTATTTCATAAAAGATTTTAATCAGAATATATAAAAATCTCTTAAAATTCAAAAAGTTGACAACCCCTTTTAAAATGGGCAAAATATTTGAATAAGTATTCTACCAAAGAGAGCATAGGAATTGTTAATAAGTAGGTGAAATGGTGTTCAACATTATTAGTCAAAAGAAATGCTAATTATAACTGTAATAAGATATCTCTTCATATCCACTAGAAAGGCCATAATCAAAAAGATAGACAATACCATGTGCTGGTGTAGATGTGAAGTAATTGGAAATCACATACATTTCTTATTCTATTGTCATAACGTGAAGAACAGTTTGGCTGTTTCTTAAAATGTTAAACATAAATTATTGTAAGATGAAGCAATCAACTATACTCCCAGGAATCTATCCAAGAGAAATAAAAACATGTGTCCACATAAATGTTCAAAACATTATTCATATTAGTTAATCTGAAACAATCCAAATATCCATGACCAGGTAAATAGAAAAACAAAATATGATATATCCATAAAATAGAATTTTACTCAGCAACAGGAAGAATAAACGACTGTGATTCATGCTAGAATGTGCATGAATTTCAAAAACATTATGTTGAGTGAAAAAAAGGTCAGATGAAAAGGACCACATATTTTATCATTCCCATTATATGAAATGTACAGAGAAGACAAATCTAAGAAAACAGAAAGTAACTCAGTGGTTGCAGAGGTTGAGCATGAGGAGAGGGATTGACTGCAAATGGGCATGAGAGATCTCTTTTGACATGATGGAAATGTTCTACAACTGGATTGTGCTAATGGTTGCACAACTCTGTAAATTTACTAAGAACTGTTGAGTTGTAGATCCTATATTGGCCCTAAGGAAAACATAAGAACACACAAGACTTCTTGCTTTTCTTTCCATGTAAGACTATCACAATCTAGGAAGACACCTATGACATACAAATGAATAAACATCATCAGTAACAAAAGGTAACAAATGTTATGAGCAACTTCAGTGTTACCACACTGCTCCAAACTACCATTATCCCTTTCTGTCCTGCAATAGCCTCTTATCTGGTCTTCTCACTTCCACTATTCCCGCATAAGGTCTATTTTCATTCCATTTTTATTGAATAAATTTGACATGTAATATTATATAAATTTAAGATGTACGGGGTGTTATTTTTATATATTTATATATTGTAATATGATTGGCATTGTTGTAATATTATCACAGTACATAATCATAGTAAAGTTCATTTTCTGCATTCATTATTCTGTGTGTTAGATCTCTATGGCTTATTTACTACTCATTACTAGTTTCTATTTTCACCATAGTAGCCAATTGATCTTGTTAAAACCTAATTCAGATCATTTCACCCTTCTGCTTTAAATGCTTCATTGGATTCCCATCTCAGAATAATGTTCTAGGTCTTTAATATGCATTAAAGGCCTTCCATAATTACTCTCTCCCTGTGTCACTCAGTTCCGGGCAGCCACAAAGCCTTCTTTAAGTTTCTTGAACACTTCAACATGCTCCACCTCAGGCCCATTATGCTAGATGTTCTGTCTGTCTGGAACTTTCTTCCACCATGGCTTGCTCTATCACCTCCTTCAAGTCTTTGTTCAGCTGTCACCTTCACAGTGAATCCCACCTTGACCACTTAAAAATTCATTACCCACCCCCAGAATCCCCCATCTCCTTTTCAAACTTTACTTTCTCTGACACATTTATCACCTAACATACATAACATATGAGTATTTCTTTATTTTGGTTATTGTCTGATTCTTTTCCACTGCCAAAATATGAGAATTTTTGTCTGCTTAGTTCACTGCTATGTTACCAGTGCCTGTAATACTACCTGGCATGCAGTAGGTACTCAATAAATTTTGGTTGAATAAATGACAAAGAACAGTTACTAAAGGCATTCATAAAAATGAGGCTTCATTTGAAATGTACAAATTGTGTTTGGAAGGGAGAGTCTGGTTAGAACCAGAGGGCTGTTTAAGAGAGACTTAAGCAGATGAGATGTCAGAATGTGGAGGTTCTCGAATGCTTAGAGCACAAATACTGGGATGAAAAATCAAACGAATGAGCAATGGGGTTGTGTTCTGAACACTGCCTTAGCATCCAGTGAATAGTCTGACATGGATGGTAAAGAGCTGACTCCTTGAAACTTTAGCTTTTTTTTTTTTTTTTTTTTTTTTTTTGGAAAGAGCATCTCTTGACAAAATATCCTCCAGAAAACCTGAAGTGTTCTGTGCTATGATTGAAATGGCCACCAGGGAATGCTTAAATCTATAATTCTGAACCATTAAGAATGAAATTAGGCTACCCTATCAGAGGCTGTCAGGGAGCCACAATCCCCTGACTGCTGCCTTAATAGGCAGCTAATGGAGAAGGATAAGTCCTCCAACACTGTTTTCTCCAGTTTCCTTATCCCATGACCTCTGACAAGCAAAGCACAATACTGGGCATATGGTTAGTGTCCTTGGCATTCAAGAAACCAATGCTTGAGTTTTACTTGAGCTGCATCCTCTGAATATGTGACTTCTTGATCCACTACCATTTTTTCATGCTGTTTTCTCTGCCAGTTACTACCTATCCAATTCCTCTGCATCCTTGTAAGGCCCTACACAAAAGCTGCCTCCTTCGTAAGCTTTTCCCGATTACTATTGCTCTCACTGCTCACTGCCTTCATGAGATCTTGGGGCTTGTCATCACCTGTACCAGTCAGGCATCATTGACTGGTAAAACACTGATTCAGAAACCGCCCCTATCCATGAACTTCATTCTGGAGTTCCAAGTGAAAACAGAAATTTTCCCATTATGGACTTTCAGGAATGTAAGGGATAGAGGTAAACAGATGAACTTGTGAAACAAAAAATAAATTTATGATGCTGCAGAACTGGTAAGGAACAACCTATTCTTGGAAGACCTCTCTAGAAGAGAAAGCACGGACAGCCCTAGAAGAAGAGATACTATCTCTAGCTGCCTCAACCCTGTCTTTAAGGGTACAGTACAGGATCAGCCTGGTCAGCCCACCTACACCCACTCCCAAGCAGGCCCCCACTGTTTCCCAGGCTCCTCTCTGTCTTCATTATTCATCCTAGTCCAACTACTTGGCCGCTAGTGTATGGGGAACTCTAATAGATGCCTGGGGCCTGTTTCCATTTTAGCCTCTCTCTACCTGGTATATTCTGTGCTTTGTTCTCTGAAATCATGCTACAGAGCAACACGGAAATCATGTCACATGTGACAATGTGCCACAGAAAGCACATACCAGAAATGTATCCTGGGGCAAGCAGAGAGAGTGGGAGCCTGCCTGGCAAAGTCCATGTCCGGATTAGTCCAAACCAGTTCCTAGACAGCAAACCCCAGGCAGTGGGAGGGGAAAGTTAGACCCACATAGAAGAAAATCAGCATTTACTTTTAATCTACATAAACACAACCGCTTTGTGACAAAATAGTATTGTTACCATTTTAAAGACTAGGAATCTCAGGCACAGACAGGTGAGGAGACTTTACTCAAGCCTACAACAGTTAGAATGCAGTAGAGACAGGATTTGAATCCAAATTTCTATGACTACAATGGCAGTCTCTTTCTATCAGAGCATTCTATATATCTTATATCATTCCTAACATAATGATGGGCATGCTGGGAGTTCTCAGCTCCTTTGCTTGTTTCTCTGCCTGGTTGATAGTCCCCGAAGCCAACATTCTCTACTTACATTGTAAGATGTGAGATACCATCAAAGCTGTACAGTTGTCACTGCATGGAAGCCTTCCTAGAGCCAAATCCTTCTTTATTTGAAGAGTAAAAAGGTACCTGGAGGGAAGTTGAGAAAAATCTCTTGAGAAAGAAACAGGAACAAGAAAGAAGCATGTCCCTTCTCCCTTCTCCTTTCAAGAAAGGAACGGTACCTCTAGTCAGTGATATACTTTTATGGGGTGGTGAGTAATACATAGGCTTTGCTTCAGCCCCAAACCAACATTGGACCACAACTCAGCTGATCCAGCACTTTGGCAGGCCTTACAGCCATTAGGAATCACCCCAGCCAAATCCTCCCACCAGCTTGAAGGAGTTGGCCAATCATCCTTCTGGTGGTTTCTGCCACATAGCAAAGCCACATACCCAGCCAGAGAGACAGGGAAATTCAGCAAGGCCCAGCCTTCTTAGGAGGACAGTACTGCTCTGTTTACAAAATGCAATCAAGCACTCACTATCAAAAGAACTTAGGAAGCTGGCAGGGTAGCAACAACCACCGCATTTCACAATTATGGGAAGACAGAGGATAGGTGATTTGGTCAAGGTTTTATTACCCAAAGATAGTGTAATTGTGATGGGAACTCAGGTCTGCCACTGAGTTTAGGCTTCTTCCTATCCAAAAAAATTGTGTTTCAGAAATCAAGGAGTTGAGACCATGCCTCTGCCAATTCACCTGGACTACCTTCTCTATGTCACCACAGCCTAGCCCAGCACTTTGCACAGAGCATGTATGGAATAACTATGTACCAAATGGAATGAAGCCAAACTGTCCTATTTCTACCAACAGCTTATCAGAGACATAAAGTGCTGGTTGGTATCCAAAACTTTGCCAAACAGATAACATTTGTCTTATGCATTTAAGCCATTGTCAAAGGAGAAACAGCATTTAAAAAGATGTGTATAATTAAGATTCTATCACGGAATGCTTTCTTCCATGGTCTAAAATTGCTTCCATTATTTTATTTTATACATTAAAACATTTATTGAGTACCTGCAGTGGGCATTTCTCTTTATTTAAATAGAGCTCTATCTAGACTTTTATTTAAAACCAATTAAGCCTTGAAAGCAATGTGGAGAATCAAAATTAATTTTAAGTGATAGATGAAAATCTAGATTAGAAAAAAACAGATAAATTAGCAGGTAATTATTCAATTTACAAAAGCATTCATCATTATAATCCTTCCAACTGTGAACTCCCCTAATTAGTTAGAGATGATTCAGTTAGAAAAGTTATATTTGCACACCAGTCTCAGAAATTCATGTATTGTATCCAAACAAGGCATTTTTATCAAATCAACTACAGTTAAATATTCTTAGATGGACCAATGAGGAAAAAATAAAGGAATTCTAACCATTGCCATCTCCTCCTTTCAAGTATAGACGCAAATACAATCATCAGCCTCAATTGCTAAAGGGAAAGTGAATTTTACTTTGCTCCTCACAAGAAAAAAAGGAAACTTCTTGTCATTTGACATATTCATTGTTATTAAGAAGGCAGCTGTCTACTACAAATACCAGATCCTTGTTCTGAATAGCTGATGAATCATTTATCATCATATTGATTTTCTCATTCTTTTTGGGGGGTGGGGAGAAAGTTTATCTCCTTGAAAATTGATCACAATTTGAGACTCAACTAAAATAGGTTAGCAAATTGATATAAATACCAAGATATCAAGTTATCTGGGAAAGTGGCCTACAACTTACAAATGTGGATAGAATTGGGCGGTGGAGGTAGGGGAGAGGGAGGGAAAGAAAGAGGGAGAGAGAGAGATTTGTGAAAAGTGATTTCTGCAAAGACACCTTGGAAAAGAAGTATCCCTGTAGAAAAGGGGTGAAAAAGAGCTAGGATGAACTACATTGGTCGGAAGACTTCAGGGAGAATAACTGCCAACATCCTGTGATTTTGGCTAAGTCACTCCAGCTCCCAGGACCTGTTTTCCTTATCTGTAAACCAAGAGGGCTGGACTAGATTATCTTGTTTATCACTTCTACATGTAAGAGTGTAATGTCTGAAAAACAGAGTAAGATTTTGGGGAATGTTATGTTTAAAGTGAATTATTTTAAGAAGTAGGTTTACATTGTAGTTTTAAAGGGCATTATTAATAAGTATAAAAACACTATTTAAAATGTTTTATTTTTTTTACTTTTTAACTTTTTAACGTTTTAAAGTATAAAATATTTTACTTTTATAAAGGTTAATAATTTATTATTATAAATTACTATTAAGTTATATTGAGTTATTAATAATTTATAATTAATAATTATAATAAATTATTGATCATTTATATTATGATAAATAATTTATAAAATTTATACTTTTTTGCTTTTTAAATTTTTATAAGTATATGTCATCATCACATTCTACCTATGGGATACACGCACACACACATACACACAGACTATTTTCAATATCCATGAAAATTAGCTGGCATTACACTTGTGCTGTCAAGCTGCCCTCTAATTGGAACACATATACAATGAAGGCAAACACTCTGTTACAGCAGTTAATATTATAACACCAAAGTGGGCACCCATGCTGGCTACCACTTCTAGAACACCATCCCCCTCCTTCTCCCTGAAGTTCCTGCCCTTTGGAAAATTAACACTTTGGGTACCAGCCAGGCCTTCCTCTCCAGGTCCTCACCATCCCCCAGAGTGACTGAGAGTCAAGCCTTCCAAAGAAAACTGGAAGCCTACTCTCTGACAAATGGAGAATAATGATTTTTAAGTAACAGCATGCAGCACACACACAAGTAAGTATTATACCTTGTAAGCTCTTCTCGCAGATGTCCAGGGTCCACTGGGAAAAATTTCACCATAAATTTGAAAACAACCTCCTTAGGATCTTAAAACACAATAACTCCATAAGTTTTATTTACATGTCCATCACAACGGTTACAGGTGTTTACACACACATGCACATATACACACTCCCTTTCTTCTTCCCTCCTTTCCCCATCACACATTCCCAGATATTTTTATTTTAATTTTCATATTTCTAAGATGATGTTATTTCTGAGTTGTGTCTTTATGTGGATAGCAGTTAGGAAAGTTCTCCTGGCCCTCTTCCTACCCTCTTTCCCTTTGAGTTTCTTTTTGTAAAGATATGCCTCTTCGGGGCCTACAGTGTCCTCTCTTAAGAAGTTTCCCATTTTGAAAAATGTTACACTTGCTACTTAGGATTCTGCAGTCCTGGTTGAGAGAAGAGCCCTGCTTTAGACGCAGGGGCATATCACTGCCTGAATGATCTCACGAAGGGGAACTACAAGAAGTGTGGACTGATGCCTTTATGTATCTTAAAACCTACATTAAAGCACATCTACTTACCTTCATTCTTACTTGCATTTGAATAAGAGACACTTTGCATCTAAAGTGAACACATACGTGCAGAGTTTGGCATCATTCAGCAAATATTTTTGAGTGCCTGTTATATGCCAAGTATTGCACTAGGCAGGTATTGGGAATAAAATGACAATTAAGCAGTCATATTTGGGTATAACAAGTGCCATAAAGTGTTATAAGCACTGGGTACTGGGGAAGCACAAGAGGGGAAGAAAAGAGTTTGGAGAAATTCAAGGAAATCTTCCTTTAGGAGTTGAAATCTGAGTAAGGCTGCCAGATTTAGAAAATAAAATATAGGACTCCCAGTTAAATGTGAATTTCAGATAAATGGTTGCATGGGACATAATTATACAAGGACATTATTCTTTGTTTATCGGAAATTCCAGTTTAGTTCAGCATCCTCTATATTACCTGTGAAGCCTACAGCTGAAGTTAATTTAGTCAAAGTCAGGAGAGGTAAGAATACAAAGTGGTCAGTGGCAGAGTTAAGGCTAAAAAGGCAGACAGAGTCCATGGTTTTGTGGATTGTGCTAATGAGTTTGTACTTTGTTCTAAGGGCAGTATGGAGTCATGGAAACATTTTAAGCAGAACATTTTCAATAGTTCCCTTTGGGAGTAGTGTACGTGATGGGTTAGGGGAAATCAGCTCAGAAGCTGTTGGAATAATGTGGCATCATTTTGTGGTGGAAGGAAGACAGAACTGTGGAAAGTACCAAAATGTAAACAGCAGGTAGGGGAAGAGACACTGTAAGAGAATGTTCTGCAAAGTGTTGACTGAAATCTACCATTATAAGAAACATCAGTGGAATTTGTTGAAAATGCAGGTTGCTGTCCCTCAACCCAGGAACTAGGCCCAGTAATCTTTATTTTAACAAGAGCCCCAGATGATAGTAATACACACTAAAATTTGAGAACCACCACACTAGATTGTGAAATACAGAGTAGGGGAGAATGTATCATACTTAGTAGGCACTCAAATATAAACTGACACAAATGAACAGGCGGAAGATGAATGACATTGCAGATTGATATCAAGGATGCTCAAAAGTTTGTACTGCTAGAACCTGAAATATATTCTCAGAGCCAATCTACAGAGTGCTATGATTACCAAGGTTCTTCAAATTCACTCAAAGATCCAGCAACATGATTTTCTTCATCTTGGGGAAAATTAAAAGGAATCTTTTAAATTGTTAAATCCATGAAATGATGAAGGATTACAATCATACATCAAAGCCCCTTTCTCTCCTTATATTAATGTGAGAAATAGTGTGGCATTGCTGAAATATTGAAATATTTTCAAGTTTTAACTTGGAATTAAATTCCTTAAAAGATTTTCAATACTTACTTTTTACTTGTTTTGTAATGGGCTTCAGAATTTCCAACCAGACCTGTAATAATATTAATGAAAAAAATGGTAGAACGCGGCATTGAATGCAGCTTTTTTTGGTACCAAATAAAAGTAAACATGAAATAAACAAATGCCAAGACTATTTAAACTCTAAAGATAGAAACAGCAACGTGTAAGAACTGATATACCTCCACCACACTCAATCTTCCTGCTTGTATTTTCTCAATGACAATGAACATTGTTGATCTATCTCTTTGTTGTTGACATTTGAATCAATCTTCCCCTGCCTGTAGGATGACAGAGGTATCATATACAAGGTCCATTACTTGCTATGAAAACTAATGAAGGCATTTGGCTCCACATCCTACATCCCCCAAATGCCAGTTTAATAGATGTAATGAGCTTTTCTTGGAAGGTGCCAGGTAACAGGCAGGACACAGCAGGAAGAACAACAGGAATATTAGGACTCCAGAGAGGATAGTCACATGAATACTCATCAGTGAGGTTAAAAGCAAATTCTGGAGGTCAAGGTCCAGCCTCTGGAAAGTCAAAATAGATAAAGCATAGATAGATTTTCACAGAATGACAAAAGAGCACAGAGTCGAAGAGTTTCTGTTTCGCAAACTGAGGTGACTAAATAGAAAAGTAGGGAGAAGGGAACATAGTTATTAAGTCCAGTGAATTTGCAAGGATTTAAATGTTGGGTTTTTTTTTTCTATTTTTCAATCAGGGGTTTGAGCCCTACATACCTAGCTGCAAACTGGATTTAGAAGCAATTGTAGACACAAGGAACCATATAATGAAATTAACTTACATTATTTCCAGAATGGCTACAGAATTCTAATCCAAAATATTCCTTTTCAGCAAGATTTAGATGGCTGCAACTCAGGTTAAACAGCGCCTTCCCAGATGACTTTTGCTAAAGAAAACAAAAAGATCATAGCACAATTTGCATTCCCAACCTGATATTGTTATTGCAGTATGAATAAATGGTAGAAGTGACAAGACTCTCTTCAAACACTGTTTCATTTAAGCACTGTTTAGAAGTGCTGCATCTCCCCAAATGATGTTGACTTTTACAGATAGAAACATGCATCTACCTGTAAATTGTTTTAGGGGTACCCCTTAAAAAACTGCAGACTAATGACACTCTCGAAAAAAAACAGAGCCTTGAACTTAACTATGGCTAGATCTGCAAATCTACCCTTTCAATAGAATTCTTTAATGAAGTCGTCCCACAGACAATTTGAATGATTTTCCCCAGATTGACAGATAGCTTAACCAAGATGCAAATCTAACCTGCTTAAAATCCTTCGCTGGCTCCCCTCAGATAGCTCCCCTTAACATCAGAAGCTGGGCTTTCTCTCCCTCATGCAGCCCAGCCTACCCCTCCGGCCTCATTTCTTGCCCCTCCCCCTTCCCCACACTTTCCTGTAATAATCACAACCTGCTCCCAGTTACCTATGCGTGTCAAGTAGTTCCATGCCTATATGCTTCTGCTCATGTGATTCCTTCTACACAGACCGCCCTTCCCACCTTTCTTTGGTTTGGCTTAATCCTATTCAGCTCAGATGTCATCTCCCTGGGACAGCCTTCTGTGATCCCAATTAGCAGCAGGTTGAGCCAAGGGCAACCTCGTGCTCTCAAATACTCTTGCTTACCTCAAATGTGCCATTTCTTACATGGAATGTCTGTTAGTCCTTCACAGCAGGGACTTGGTTTTATCTTTGTTGTTACCATGTCTACCTGAACCTGGCACATAGTAGGAACTCTTAAATGTTTGTTGATTCAACATGAAATTTACCAAATTACTCATATGAGCTGCATGAGTAGATTTCCTTTTGCAGCTTTCCCCTTCTTCACATAAAGCCACAGATTTTTTTTTCTTCATAAACCCCCCACACACTGTGAGCACAAACAGTCCCTTTCTTAGGGCTTCCTGAGAACTGGAGCTTTGAAGAGCTCTAAAAATCTCTTTGAGCTGAGTATAGATGGGACTGACCTTCAACAGCCACCATTGCTGAAAGTTTGCAATGGTTGATGTTTACAGGGAGGACTGTGATGGGAAAATTGGACACTGGCTGTTAGGCACAAAGACATGCTGCTGAAAACCCCTAGTTAAAGCTAAGTCACAGGGTGCTACAGTGTTGCAAAGGAAGCCAGGACGGGAAATGTAGCTGGAAACCACCAACCCATAGAATTAACAGCAACCTTGTGAGGTCACAGAATACAGCCACCCTCCTCTCCACCCCCAGCCTGCTCCCTAAAGGCAGTACCACACTGAACCAAGCCCACATCTGGAATTTAATAGCTTCCAGGAAGGCAGCTGCCACACCCTTTTCCCCCAGCAACCAAAAATATTCCCCTCTCCCCTAAACTTCTCTCCACTTGGTTACACTGTCCCAAGCTCCACCACCTCCAGATTTGTGTGGGTGAAGGAAGGTCCTATTTTTAAATGCAAATAGGCTGAAAAGGGTGAAACCTACTGAGTCCCTAGCACCTGGAGAGAGCTGAGAGAAAGGGGGTGTGTTTTCTGTGGAAGGCCACATTGGAACTGTGGTCCAAGGAAAGGGGGTCAATCCACAGTGGGGGGTTGCAGGCCATGAAGGGGGACTGTAGGGGAGGGGTCGTCTGGTAGGGAAGAGGGAAGGGAAGTTTTTGCCTATGTGGTAACTTTGCCTAGGGCAATTGCTGACACAGACCATTCCAGACAGATGAAATTGCTCCTATTTTTAAAGTCCTCCAGGAGCTGCCACAAGATTTTTCTTATGCAAAATAAAAAAAAAGGAATTTCTAAAGACAGATATGACAGCAATACTTTTTACAACACCTAAGAAACATTTCAGTCATGAGAATCAAATTCCATCATAGATTCCAGTTTCTTTGCAAACAATTTAAGAAACTCAACATTTTCCTTTTTCTTCCTCATTTTTTATTTTTCCATCTTGGTGCTTAATCCACCCCTTCAAAGCCACCACATTCCATGTGTTTGTATATGTAAATGTTTCTGCAGTCACAAAGGATATATAGTCATTCTTGTCAGGGTTCCAGTCAAGGCTTCCTTTTTGCTCCTTATGTAAAATCCCATAACATGTTTATAAGAATAATCCCCTGATTCTTCAATCTTTGTACATGTCAACTTGCTCTAAAAGTCTTCAGCATTTATGCATTTGAAGGCCAGGCACTCACATGGCCCAATTTCTCCACCTTTATCTCAGGGAGTGGCATTTCCCTTCAGCTCTCCATAGTGTACGTTGAAATTGGCCAGCATGTGCACTGTATTGCATAATAGGTAAGGTCTTGGTTCTGTCTCAACATTCAACCTTTAAAGTTTTCCAACCATTATGATCCAGTTCCTCAATTTTTTGTTATGCTTCTTTTTCTCATTATATCTTTTTATATATAGCTTTCTTATTTTCTCTTTTCTGGACTTTTGATTCTCTTTTTATTTAAGATGCCACTTTTCAACATTTTAACCAAGTTCCTTAATGTATCTAAACTCTTTACCACCAGTCCTCCCACTTAGGGAATTGAACTCCAAGCCTCTTCACCCTAGGATTACACACAACACACACACACACACACACACACGCATGCACAAAACTTCTCAGAACTTATATTTGTGGTCTCCAATGCACAAACCATGCCTTTACCATAGGACACTGATTTCTGGAGCTTCAAACTCATGTTCTCACAAAAACAATAATATTCAAGATGAATAACTCCAAAAAACTACCAAAATTTATATGCAGCTAGAGAAGTCATATAACAATTGTTAGAACAAATCTGAATTGTAATCCTGCTCTACCCACTTACTAGCTAGATGAATTGGAGGGAATCTTTTAGCTCCCATATTGGCCTGCCTTTTCTGGGTACCTGAAGACAGAAATCATGTGTTTGACTACCTGGCTTTATGTACAGTAACTGGCAAAGAGTAGACATCCAATAAATGTTTATTAAGTAAATGAATGGATCCAAATCTTTAACTTGATTCATGTACATTAGTAAGAATGTCTCCTCAGGAGGAAGAACAAATTAGTTGCTATGTGTCCTAGGGCAAATTACTGAACTTTTCTGAGCCTCAATTTACCAGTCTGTAAAATGAAGATAACAATAGTATTATCTCATAGAGTCATGAGAATTAAACAAGTTAATTCACATCAAGGTCTTAGCACAGTGCCTGGCAAATCATATAACTTAAGGAATGCACATGTATAGATAAATACATACAAAAATCTGGAAGGATACATAGCAAATGTTAACATCATTTTTCCTGGAGAGGGGATATATGAAGGGAAACTTTAACACTTTATTCTGTACATATCTGGATTCATTTTTTTAAAATGAGTAGGGACTATAGAAACTCCTTAACCAACTTCTCCTCAATGATGCACAGAGAATATACTCCATTCCCTCTTTAAAACATTGGTTGATGCTTATGTCATGATGAAAGCTCATGGTTAGTAAGCTACTCTAATATGATCATGTACCTATATACTTACTGGTGGAACCCCACACTTAATCATTTTTTAACAATTTTAATCATTCTACTTGTTATTTTAATTACATAACTTAATAAAATTATATATGTGACAAACAATTATAAGCACTAAAAGCAAGAGTTGTTTCTATGAAAACTAAATTGATCACTTTACAAAAACTCAGTAAGAGGGGAAATCCCCCAAAATGTGCTGTCAAATTAGTTGTAGATTTGATGGCAGTAAAATATTGGAGAAGAAAACTCTGGAAAGACTCTACTTAAATTACTTTGCAAGCATCTACATTCTTGTTCCATGTTAAATAAACAAATGCTAGAACTTGTAGATGATGCATTATGGGTATGGTTTATGGAAGACAGACAAGTGGAAAACTAATCAGAACTCCTTATTCAAAAAGAAAGCCTTGACCCTACATTAAAATATTAGCTTATAGATGCTAAGCGACATAAGCCAGGGGGTGAAAGGCAACTTTCATATGATCTCACCTATAAGTGGAACCTAATCAACAAAACAAACAAGCAAGAAAAATATAACCAGCAACATTGAAAGAAAAAGAAACTGACAGTATCGAGAGGGAAGGAGGGAGGGGGTAACAGGGAAAGGAAGAGGAAGGGTCAAATCAGGGAACATGTATAAAGGACCCATGGACAAAGCCAAGGTGGAGAAGGATGGAGGGATGGAGGTGAGGGTGGGTGGGGCAGGGGAAACCGGTGGTGGGAAAATGGAGGCACGTGTATTTGAACAATTAAAAAAAAAAGAAATAAAAAGCAGATTGGTGGATGCTAAGGGTGAGGGGACAGGGGACTAAATATATAGTAACTGCTTAAAGGGTGCTGGGTTTTATTCTAGAATGATGAAAATGTTTTGAAACTCAATAAAGGAGGTGATTGTACAACATTAAGAATGTACTAAATGCAAGTGAAATGTTCACTTTAACATGGTTAGTTTTATGGTATGTGAATTTCAAAAAAAAGATTAGCATATAGATATAAAAGTATATGTTTTGGGCCAAAATAAAAAGTTTAACATGTTTGTATATATGAATATATTTGTTATTCTTTAGCAAATATGATCAATTAACTAACCAACAATCCCCTTTCACCACATTAGATAAAAGGAAGTCTAATGTAGCTATGTGTTGATTCTATACTTGAAAAAATACAGACTATGCAATTCAGATTTGAGAAAAGGATAAAATGAGATGAAATATAACATTATTAACAGTAGGATAGTAAGTTATTTTTACTTTTTTCTTGCAGTTGTTATATTTTCCAGATAAATGCAATAGGCATTATAAAATTTAAAAGCATAGTGCCATACTAAGTGTTTGGTAGATGCTTCTCCTGTTTCCATTGCTGACTCCAACATTCAAAATATTTCTCGTGCTTCCCTCAGAAAATTGTTCTTGAAGTCATGGATG